GCTGTTGTCGCCCTGTGATGACGTCACCTACGCGGTTTCGTCGAGCGCGCTTTAGTCGAACGTGGTTTTGTGGTGGAACCGGCCAGGTAATGATGGGGTTTTTAACTTAGAATGAAAACAAAGAGATGGGAAGAAAAATTTGGGGAAACAAAAAAGGGCAGTGTCAAACGACTTTGATAATGTTGCATGGCACTACATAACTTCATGGAGTCAACAAGGGATGAAGCTTACTATTAAAAGAGAATTACTGCATAAATATTTACCAAGCCAGCTGACTTTAAATGACTTCCTTTAAGGGAGTGTCCCCAACCCCCAGGGCTGCAGACTGGTACTGGTTCATGGTCTATTCTATTAGAAACCAGACCGTTCAGCTGGAAGTGAGTGACAGGTGAGCAAAACTGCATATGATGTGCAAGTACCTAGGTTTTCTATTCCTCCCCCTGGAAAAAAAAATTGTCTTCCATGAAATCAATCCCGGGTGTTCAAAAAAGATCGCGGCTTTAAGGTACTTGTAAAATTGATATCTACATAGAGTTTAGATTAGTAGTCCTTGAGATATGACCACAATTGCACCCAGAATTTCTGGGGCTAAGCAAGGCAGTTGTTGAGTGAGCCTCATCCACTCTTAGGACCTTTTTTTGGCCATGGTTGTTAAGTGAATCACCACAGTTATTAAGTGAATCACATAGTTATTAAGCAGCTTGTTAATTTTGCTTTCTCAGAAGCTGCCTGGGAAGTCGCAAATAGTGATTCACATGACCACAGAACACTGTAACTGTAAATACAAGCCAGCTGCTTATTCCCTGAATTTTGAACACATGATCATGGGGATGCTGCAATAGTTGTTAAGACACCTTTTTCAGTGCCGTGCCATTTCGAATAATTGCTAAAAAATTGGTTGTTAAGCCAAGGACTATCTATAGCCAGATTTTAACTACCTTTAAGAAGAAAATATATTTAGTACAGGCCTATCAAACTGGCGGCCCACGTGCTGGATACGTCATACATAGGCCACGCCCAACCAGCCCCGCAAAAGCAAAAAACCGTCACGATACATCACGTGACACGATCGAGTTTGACACCTATGATGCCGTAGCTCTCCATTAACACACATAAAATGCTTCAAAATAAATAGCAATAGCAGTTAGACTTATATACCGCTTCATAAGGCTTTCAGCCCTCTCTAAGCGGTTTACAGAGTCAGCATATCGCCCCCAACAATCCAATAGATGGATGGATGGATAGATAGATAGATAGATAGATAGATAGATAGATAGATAGATAGAAATAGCAGTTAGACTTATATACCGCTTCCTAGG